AACTGAGTTTAACACTGGCTTATTGGCATCTTCAGATCATCTTTTGGAGTGATAAATATTGCTCCCATCTTCTAGACAACCCTTAATATTATTTTCTTACTGGACCTATAACTGCCTATGCTTGAGGTCTTCACTGTTTAATGGGTGACGTGTGTACTCTACATGTGTGTACAGTGTACATAATGATTTCCTCAAGTCTGCAGAGGTCATGTGATCACCTTCCTAGGCTAATTGCTTTTGATTCTCTATCCGTGACATTTTGGCATGATAGTTGCTGTTTTGGAGACTCATTTTTCTTTTCCACACCATCTGTAAATGTCTTGTACGTGAAGCTTCCTGATATATCTATTATGTAAAAATTATAAACTGCATTTATGCTTCTGCCTTGTTTCCTAATAGTGCTATGGAAATGAACATCCCATTTTTTGGAATTGGAAGGAGGCACGGCTCTGGCATCTTGGAAGTATTAGACAAGAAGGAAGTGAACGTGCAGGAATATAAAGCTGGATCTAGACCTTTTGCCTTTTTAATAGATGCTTTATAGTATTAAAAGGAAGTAAAAGATGATTTCGATGTGTTTTTTTCCTTCCTTCCTATCTGCCCTATGCACCCACGGTGCCCTATGTACCCAACTCTCCCAACTCTTCCTAGTTCCCCGCAAAATGTTGATGGTGACATGTGAAATGAAAAGAGTGGCAGTCAGTCTTCTGTGTTCAACCAGAGCAAGAGGCTCCTAAATATATGTATTATTAGATGATGTAGTAAATGGAGTTAATCATGGTATTCTGGCTGATCCTTTCCTTATAAATAAGAGTTGAACTTGCATTTGTCCCATTCAGTATGTTTAAAATATTCATTCATACGGAAATGGAAAACTAACTTGTTGGGGACAGTTAATTTAGCAGTTTTGAAAAAAATTGCCCTCAAAAGGATGTTTAATATAGTATTTAAACTTAGAAGACATACATTGAGGTAGACTGCTCATATCGAAATACCTGTTTATGACTTAACTAGCTGTATGACTGCGTTAGTTACTGTTAGTGTCTCAGTTTCCTTGTATTGAAGTGTAAGTGGTTTAGCATATGTAAAATCCTTTGAAGCTATTACTTTTTATTGTTGTTTTAATTAAGTTGTTACCTATCATTCAGTATTCAGAGCTGTAAGTAGGTTTTCATTTTAGGAGATAATGAATAGTGTGTTTTAAAGTAGAATTTATATTACTGCTTTCACTAGAGTAAACTGAAGATTTGCATCAATAACAATTTACCCAAACAAATCAAAACATTAAATGAGGAGGAAGATTAAATGAGAAAATGTATGTTAAACCCAAGTACTCTAGAATGTTAAGTATGGATGTTGTCATTGGAGTCAGAGAAGCAGGTCAGATATTTATAATCCATCAGGTTGAGGTATTGGGTATTTAAATATTTTTAATCTCAGTTTAACTACACAAGATTTGTATGGTCTAGGAATTTAATAACAAGTGTATATCATTGTTTTAATAGTGTAAAAATGTATGAATTATTTATAAACTAGAAAAAATAGGCTCTCCTACATCTTCAGATAATTATTTAGCTTATAATGAATTAGTCCAAAGAAAGAACATTTTTACATCTTTAGTAAAAGCTGTCAGCTGTAGTTTCCTGTTAGATACCAAAATCAATTCTACTCATTTACTTACTTTCTATTTTCTAGTTTATGTCTTCTCTTGAAAAAAATTTTTTTTGCCAGTTTTTCCTGTTCTTCTAGTATAATTTTAAGGTATAAAAATAATTGTTTTTTTTCTCATTAGTACATAAAAAGCAATTTTTTCCTTTAAAATCTAAGCATTGCTTTAGTCACATCCCAAGATAATAATATGTAGTATCTTAATTGTAATGTTTTTATATTGCTTTCTATTATAGTCTTAATTTCTATATGTCCCGATTGTTAATTTTCCATGTGATTGAGTTTATATTTGGTCTAATAAAAATACATCGTATTCAGAGAATACACTGTGTATATCATCTTAGATTGTTTCTAGTTTTTGGTAGTTCCATGCACATTTGAAGAAAGATTTAAACTCTGCTTTAATGTACAGGAATTCTTTACTTTACATAATTCCAATATACATGAATATACTTACCATGTTTTAGTTAAATAATGCCAATCCTCCAACAACAAGCCTTGTAGTACCTTGAGCATAGAATCCTGGCAAGCCTGCTTAGATTTTGAACTACAGAAATGTGAGCTAATAACAGGTGGTATTTTAAACCACTTAATTCACAGTAATTTGTTACAGAGTAAGTTTAAAAAACTAATAGACTGAGACCGTGTTCGGTTTTTAAATCTTTTTTCTCTGTTCTTCAAATTTGATTACTTTTATTGACTTTTCTTCATTTCATTGTTTCTGTAATCTTCTATATGCTTTTAGGCTCATCCAGTGAATATTTTTAATTAAGATGTACTTTTCAGTTCTATAAATTCTATTTTTATAGTTTCCATTTCTCTGCTGAACACTCACCATCTGCTCACTTATTATGACCATCTTTTGCTTTAAGTTCTTGAAAAAGTATATAATACCTGCTTTAAAGTACTTTTTTTTGCTAATTCTAACATTTGGGTTATGCAGTTAATTGTTTTTATCAATTTTATCTTGATCGTGGGGCATTTTTTGCATACCTAGTAATTCTTTATGTTATATTGGTCATTGTAGTTATTCTTTGTAAGAAGGCTAGATTATGTTGTCTTCCTTTAAAGAGTGTTGAGTTTTTTTCTGTCATGTAGGAGGATCTTATTGGAGGATCTTTTAGGTTTTTGCCAGGCTTTTTTTTTTTCCCCCCTGAGGGAGGCCTACTTGATATTGATCTGAATTCTAGGGGGCCTCTACTCCTAAGGTGTGGTCACTTTGGAGTTTCAACTGAATGCCTGAAATGTTCTCTTTACTCTAGTTGGATGGAGTATTATTCCCCTTGGCTAGCCATAACTAAATACTGTAGAATAGATGTCTTAAACAACAGAAATTTATTTTCTCATAGTTCAGGAGACTGGAAGTCCAAGATCAAGTTCCCAGCAGGGTTGGTATCTGGTGAGGACTCTTCCTTTGGGTTGTAGATGGCTGCCTTCTCACTGTGTGCTCAAATGACCTCTTTGTGCATATGAGGAGAGAGAGAGCCTTTTGGTGTCTCTTCTAATGACAGTTAATCCTGTTGGATCAAGGCCCCATCCTTATGCTCTCAGTTTAACTTAATTACTCCTGTGGAGGCCCAGTCTTTAGAGACGACCACACTGCAGGTTAGGACTTCAACTAATGAATTTTGTGGGGATGCAGATATTCAGTTCATAACAGGCAGGAATTCCAAAGACTCCCAGCACTGCACAGCCTTTCAGCCCTCTAGTAGGTGATTTATGCTAGACCTCATAGAGCCTCACCCTGTGCGTGTTTGTATGTAGCCCAGCCCTTGCCCAGCAAGGACCTTGAGCACAGAAATCTAGTCTCTTATCTCCCACCTGTTCTACCTGGGCTGGTCCTTCTTGTGTTGGGATAGGAAAGTGTTCCCAGCAATAAAGCTGAGGCCATCGTGAGGCTGACTTCATATTTCTCTTCCCTTAAAGATTTCAGACCTGCACTGCCTATTGTTCATTTCTTGAACAGAGTTGCCTCATATATTTTTGGCCTGTTTTATATTTGGTTTTAGTAGAATAGCAAATCTGGTACCAGATACTCTGTCATGGTTGGAAGCAGATCAGTCATGAGTTTTTATTTCCAAACATGGTAGGAGGAGGTTTAAAGGTCTCTTGTGGGCATTCTTGTTTTATATAATTTTTTTTATTACTTATAGAGCTTTTTTTATTAAAAGTTTTATGGGTAGACTTGAATTCTTTTTAAAGCTGTATGTTGAACTTAATGGACTATTTGGAGGAGGTGTCTTTTTGTTTCTTATCGGTATTGATGGACTGTATCTTTATGATATTGTTTGAATCTTTCTGAAGTATTTCATTGGGTATTTAAGGCTCTCTGTATGCAGTAATCAAAACCTGGCGGTGAAATGTTATGACTTAACACCCACTAAACCTTGGAAATTTAGCATGTGGGCCCCAGGAGGGCTCTTTTAACTCTCTCATTCTCTATACATTTGATACAGTATAATGTGAGATATGGTTCCAACACTGGGCAATGTGACATGCTATAAAAGAATGGTTCCTTAATTATAATATTTAAAATTTTTTCAGGAGTTTAAAATACTCCAACATACATAATTTAACTGTTACTTAGTTCACTTGAAAAATGAAATCTTTTTTGGCAGGCCATTATAAAGTCTTCAGATTTTATACTTTTTAAAAAGAGTAATTGGGAGCCTTATAGTTGTAGAGAGTAAACTCTGCAGGATAGAGTATTCATATCAGGATTTTTCCATTTTCTATCAAATTAAATCAAGTAAAAATAATCTGTTTAGATATTTTTGAAATTATTGGGAGGGCTTCGGGGGGTATTGAATAGACTTCACATTTAGTTGTATATCACATGGCCAAAATTGTGTGCATGTGTGTATATTTGTACTCATACAACATGTGTACTGACAAAATTTGGTAATTGACGATTCTGGCTTCTTAGATCAAAGAGGAAATGATAGATTCTTAGGTGTCGGAACTACTGCAAATAATAAAAAATTTTTTTTCTATCCCTTCCTTACTCCTTGTGCTAAATTAATTCCAGAGATGACTAAAGATTTACCCATAAAAAAGAAATAATATATATTCAAAGAGGAAGATGGGTAAATATTTAATCTTCAGGTAGTTCTAAACACCATGCCAAATGATCTGAACAACAAAAACTAAACTCCATCATGAGGAAAGAGAGAAGATGAACATGAAGCTGGCAAGTCATATGAAATATATATGATTTGCTCTTCAGACTCAAGATATAAAGTTAGTTACCTGGATATCCCTGTACAAGAAGCCCTTGCCTCCCCCGCAACCCCCGCCACCTTTTTTTTAATCAACAAATTTATTTCTCACAGTCTGGAGACAGAATTCCAAGATAAGGTGCTGGCAGATTTGATGTCTGGTGAGAGCCAGCTTTCCAATTCATAGATGGTCATCTTCTTCCTGTGTTCTCTCATGGCTGAAGTGGCTCTGAGGTAGCTCTCTGGAGTTTCTCTCTTTTTTTTTTAAATTAAGTTTATTGGGGGTAGCATTTGTTAATAACATTATGTCAGTTTCAGGTTTTACAACTTTATAATACAACATCTATATACTCTATTGTGCTCTCACCACCCACAGTCTAGTCTCCTTCTATCACCTTGTATTTGACTTCCTTTAACCTTTTGTCCTCCCCTCACCACCCTTCCCCTCTGGTAACCATCATTCGTCTGTGAGTTTGTTTGTTCGTTCATTTGTTGCTTTTTGTTTTATCTCCCACATATGAGTGAAATCATGCAGTTCTTATCCTTTTCCATCTGACTTATTTCACTTAGCATAATACTCTTTAGATCATGCATGTTGTCCCAAATGGCAATATTTTATCTTTTTATGGCTGAGTAGTATTCTGTTGTACATATATACTACATCTTATTTGTCCATTCATCCACCAGAGGACACTTGGGTTGTTTCTATGTCTTGCTTTGCCTCCCTTTTGAGACATTTCCTTCCCCCTTGTTGAGACTCCCAAAGGTATTGCCATTCCTCTTTAGTAAACAAGCAGAGAATTGGAACCTTGTAAGCCCACTAGTGCTGCTGCCTTTTGTCGTCACGTGGTATTGCTATTGAAGCTTGATCCTGTGCTGCCCCTTGGATGTTTGCTCAGTGATGAAGCTGTTGCTGGTCCAGAACTTCTCATAGACTTCACCGGGGCCACATTGGGCATCACAAACACTATATAGTTCATATACTCGGAAGCTCTGCTGTTGTTTCTCACCTTTGTGCCAGGGTGATTGGACATGGAGGAGCAGCCAGCATCATTCATTCATTCATTGAACAAATCCTCAGTACCTACTGTGTGCCCAAATACTGTTTTATCCAATTGAAATCATAATAGTGAACAAAACAAAACGAATTTTCTACTATTACTAGAGCCTACATTCATTCTGAGGGTTGGGAGGAGTGAAGGAAGTGGAGGCAGAGATAGATGATAGACAAGATAAGTATTTATGCTATGAAACATCTATAGAAAGGCTTATGTGTGAATCCTGACATCTTTTAATTTTTTGTATTTGTTCTATGTGGAACATCAATATGAATGATACCAGTGAATGTAACAAAGAGGGGAAGCTGGGTACTTGATGGATTTAAAACCACAGTTGGCTGATAACGTCTCACTAGCTTGGATAAGCACTTTGTGGCCACTGTATATAATTGTACATCATGCAGCTATTAAAAATATTGGTATTGATGTATATTTATGAACATGGATAGTTGTTCATAAGTGGAAATGCAGGTTAAGAAATGATACATTTAATATTAATGAGAAATACTTTTTCTCTGCCCCTGAGGTTTCCTTCCTGAGTAGAGAGTTCTATTAGTATCACTCTGAGTCTGCTCCTGCTCCTTTATTCACTCTATCTATGGTGTAATGACTTATCTGATTGGTAAATTTGCAGATAACTGGCCCTATTGCTGCCCTTTGTCCATGCAGGACCCAGCCAGTCTTTCCACAGCCATTGAGTGATTTCTCATCTTCTTGATGGAATAAGTTGTGTGGGGGCTCCCCCTATGTAGGGACAGGTCTGCCCCAACGTAGTGCTGAGGCATGCCCACCTTTGGAGTTCACTATTAGCATGCCCATTTGTCTAGTATACGTAGAGCTTCTACTAGTAATAAGTCATATTTTATTCTTTGTTTTGTTTCTGTACTATTGATAACTTCGGCAGGGAAGGGATTATCAGTCTTTGGACACTTCATACCTCTGATCCTATTTTATTTAGTTTTATACATATTTTTATTAATTTTCCATATTCATGTATAAAAGAAAGTATGGAAAAAATATGCATCATAGTTTTAAAAGATATTGGTAGAACTAGAGGATTTTTTTCCTTTTTTTTGTCTGTTACTTTTGAATTCACTGAATTTACTAGATAAATTATTAAGAAATAGTTAAAAACTTTTAAATTTCTGAAAAAATACATTAGGTCTTACTTCCCATGTAGAAGAATTAGTCATCTTTGTACAAGGGAAGAAGCTGGACCTGAGTAGATATGCTTCCACCTACATAGCTTGGTGCTTGAGTCTAGAACTTATTCGAGGCAAAAATATATTACTTTCCTAAAACTTCTGGCTTGTCATTTCATCATGTATGTCAAAATGTTGCTATCTATCCATAGTGTTGGGCAATTTGCATGGCTTTTAAAAGTGAGTTCCAGCATTTAACTGAGGTTAATTGGATTCTGTGTTTCTCTTTCCTGCTTGCAAAGTATAGCTGTCTGCTAAGCCTGTTTATTTTTTGGCTTCTTTAATTATACATTGCCATTAAAAAAAAGAGCTACTTTAGATTCTTACCATCCTTCCTGCTTATCACTGTGATAAGTTTATATGTATAGGATATCCAGGTTCGGCTATATTTAAAGTTATAGGATATAAAGGGGAAAAGAAAAGTTTTCTAAAGTAGTAATTTTTATATCTTTACCCCCTATACTAGCAGAAAAAATTTTATATCTCTTGATATTGAAATTTCGTAAAAGAGTGAAAATGCTGCATAATTCGGTCATTATATTTTGATCATGCTTTTAAAAAATTATTTTAAATTTTAAATTTTGATCATAAATTATTTCAGATCACGAAAAGATACTGCAAATAAAATAATTTCTGGATACTTTAGAAATTAATAAACAAAACTTTATAAGTACAATTAAGCACCTGTGTACCCATTTTGATCCTCCACCAACCTCCAGCTTTGATGTTTATCATTCTCATGCATATATTAATATTTTTACTACCTGTGTGTATATCAAAAAAATAGTGTATTTTTGAATGTTTTAAAACTTTATGTGAAATAGTCGTATATTGCTAGTGAGAATGTAAAATGATACAGATGCTTTGGAAAACAGCCAGATCCTAAAAATATTAAATAGAGTTACTGGGAGACTCAGCAATTCTCCTAGGTGGATATGCTAAAGAGATAAGAGAACACATGTCCACACAAAAATTTATACACAGATGTTCATATCACTATTGCATTATTCGTATTACCCAAAAGTTGCAAAAGACCTCCAAATGTTCATCAACTGGTGAATGGATAAATTAAAATGAGGTATAACTATATAATGGAATAACATTCAGCAATAAAAAGCAGTGAAGTACTGGTACATGCTTTAACGTGGATGAACTTTGAAAACAGTATACTAAATTAAAGAAGCCAGTCACAAGAGGCTATATGTTGCATGATTCTCTTTATATGACATGTCCAGATGGGAACCTAGAGGGACAGAAAGTAAATTAGTGGTTGTCTGGGGTCGAGAGTATGGGAAAAGAATGAGTTGTGATTGCCAGTGGATATGCATTTCTTTTTAGGGTGATGAAAATGTTCTGAAGTTAGATAGCAGTGATAGTTGCACAACTCTGTAATTATACTAAAGACGGATTGTACACCTTAAATGAGTGAATTGTATTGCGATGTAAATTATATTTCAATAAAGCTGTTTAAAAAGTTCGTGAATTTTATATATTCTACTATTAGCTTTTTAAACTCCCCATAAGCCAAAACAAATTATTATATTTTGAGATGTACACATTTTTGTACATTTAGTTCTTTATAACTCATATTCACATTCCGTTGTATGAATTTACTGTATTTTATTAATCCAGTTTTTTTGTTCTAGAAACGATTCAGCTAACAGTTTAATTTATATTTTTTTATATGATGATACATTTTAACACTTTCTTCCACATTAGAATTTGATAGGATTATCGATAATTTGTAATTTATTTAGTATTATTTAACTATATTTAGAAGACATTTTATTGGTGTACCTTAGAACACTTAATTATACAATATAAAATTGATTTTAAAAAGTATTCTATCTGCTGAAGTTTTTTTAGTTTTATAGTTCTTTTATAGTTCTTTTATATTTGGCAAAAGAAAAGGCAGGGCTTCTTAACTACTGTGCCTTTCTTGGTATTTTAGTGTTACATAAGACATGTCTTAATTTCTGCATATGTTAATTTCTTATAGAAAAAGCCACAAATGAGTATAACACTACAGAAGATTGGAGTCTTATTATGGACATATGTGACAAAGTTGGAAGCACACCTAATGGGTAAGATGCTCAGTCATGCCCAGTGACTGTCTAGGGGCTTTGGAGCCTGTGTCTGTTTTCTTGATGTAGCTTTGAAAGGAAAATGGGATTTTACTGTTAAGTTTTGGGGGAATAAAAATAAAGAGATTATGGTGGCAGGATTTATGGGATTAACCATACCCTGAACAAATGGAAAATAATTTAAAGCTTTGACAAAATAGAACCACATGTTAACAGTGAATAGACTAATTGTTTAGGGAATTCCCTTGTGACTTAGAAATGTATGGGAGCCATTTAATAATGAAATAGATAATAATAATACAATAGGTAATATACTGAAGAAGCCTTTCTATAATGTATGGGTAAATATAATAACATCATAATGAAAAAAGGTGAATATAAAAAAGGATGCTTTGCGGGGAGAATGTAGCAATTAAACTGAACTGATTAGAAGTTTAGAAGACTGATGAAAGCATTTGTTTTAAAGTCATAGCTTTTAAAAGTAAATTCGTGTTTGGTACTTAAAACCTTTTAAGACTGTATCTTGCTTTTTTTTTAAGATAAGAATTTGTTTGAACAAAAAAAATGATGATATAGTTCTCTTATATTGACTAACATTTTTAAAAATGACTTGGCTCTTGGTTTTGGAATATACAACCTTTGCAACAAGCTTTTTTTTAAGTTCTACAACTATATGAGCAAAAGATTGTGTAACGTTATTTCTTTAATGAAGTGAAGTTTACAGGATTTTAGTTTTAAATTTAAAGTTATTTGGTAGAATACCTTATATTTTTAATGTTTGATTTGAAATTCTGAATACTAACTTTCTTCATTTTTTTCTTAGAGCAAAAGATTGCCTAAAAGCCATAATGAAAAGGGTAAATCATAAGGTTCCTCATGTTGCTCTGCAGGCATTAACCGTGAGTAAAAGTCATGTTATTATTTGACCCAGATTTTAAATGTATATTTATTTTAGTAAATTAAGTAAGATAATATCTCAACATTTGTATATTGATTTTTATTTTGATTTAATAGCTTCTTGGGGCTTGTGTGGCAAACTGTGGAAAGATATTTCATTTAGAAATATGTTCCCGTGATTTTGCAACGGAAGTACGTGCTGTGATAAAAAATAAGGTAAATTTTTAAAAGAAATTTATGTCATTAAAAGATACATGTATTCTATGTCATTTTAACTATATACCATTAATAAAGTTGTATTATAAATGAAATCATTTTGAGGTAAATTTGAAATAAAATAAACTTCCTGTTCTAAAATGTGATGTTTTCATTTGTAGCACCAAAACCTGTTTTCTCCCTAAAAAAGCATATATGCTAGTGATAATAGCTAATCTTTATTGAGGGTTAGTTAGCAGTCACTGCTTTAAGCATTTTACATATGCTATCTTTTTTCATGCTCTTAATAACACTTAGAAGTTAGATTCTCTTGTCATTATTTCATAGATGCAGAAACTGAGGCTTAGAAGTTAAGTAGCTTGTCCAAGGTCATGCAGCTAGTAAGTGGCATAGCCAAGGTTCAGATCCAGGTTTCTCTGACTCCAGAGTCCAAACTAACCAAGATTCTGTACTGATTCCTATTAGAGATGGCAAGTAAAGGGGGCTTTTATTTTGGAGGAGAGTTGAGGGGAGAGTCTTCACTTTAGAGTTGTTGTTTGGAATGGAAACTTTGAAGCATCATTCCCATGCTAGTAATGGCAAAAATCCCAGAATGTTAGTTTAGTTAACATACAAAGCTTAATTTACTGAGAATATTAAGAAAACATAGAATAACCTCTGACTATAAAAGATTTGTCATTAAAGTAAGATTTAGAAATTAATGTTCAAAAAGGATAATTTTGTAAGAAACACCTATATCTTAAAATGTAAATAGGCATTTATCAAGTACTCATCTAGTCTAAGGATTGCTGTACTTTTTTTGTTGATGTTCATGTGATTAAAGAAAATTTTGGTGGCAATTAATTGTTAAATAATTCAAGTACTTACTTTAACTAGTTTTTTTTTTTTTCTTTGTCTTTTCTTTAAAAGGCTCATCCTAAAGTATGTGATAAACTGAAATCTTTAATGGTGGAGTGGTCAGAAGAATTTCAAAAGGACCCTCAGTTTAGTCTAATATCTGCAACTATTAAATCTATGAAAGAAGAAGGAATTACTTTTCCTCCAGCAGGTTCTCAGGTAAGAGATTCGTTCAAACCCATGGTTGACCCTATGCTATTTTGAAGGTATGTATCTTATGTAAAAGTTGGGCAAGGTCTGTTTTAATCATCACCCACTACCGCTCTCCAAGCGACTATCTAGCATTATATCTTATATTTAGAGGATATTCTAATTGTTGAGTGAATTTCTTCTACATATCAAAACTTTGAGAAGTGACTTAGCCATAAATAATCTGTTTAATGCTTCTCTAGAGTCATGCGAAGGCATAAAAGTATGAGAGGGCCTTATGTTCAAGAAATTTATAGTAAATTTGAATGGTATATATATGTGAAAAATAACAAAATTATAAGTGACAAATATGGACGGGTACAGAGAGTAGATGCCAGGAGAGAGAGGTAACTATAGATGGGATGATGAGGAAGGTGAAGAGGTAGAATTTTTGGACTGGAATGTATTTCAATAGGTAGTGAGGAGTGAAGAGATCATATTGGGGGAGGAATGGCATGAGCAAATTGATGGAACTGAGAAAGCTCAAGACCTGTTGAAGAGTGAACATGCTTGGAGTGAATGGTTTGCATGTAAGATGGGTGAAACTATAAGACTAGAAATTTATTTAGGGAGCTGGGGGATAGATGTAGTAGGCAGGGGCGGAAGTAGGGATCATAAGTCACGGGAGAGGACTGTTTATTTAGTTCTGTGGGAAAAAACATATCTTGGGTTTCAGTACCTTTTACCATTCATACCTTGGCTTTCATACCTCTGACCCTTCACTTAATATTAGGATATGGGCTAGGGAAAAAGACTAAGAAGAGTACTACATATTTTTAAATTGTAGACTGTAGACTAAAAAGAGAAAAAAAATCTTTATAGCTGAATAGGCCTAACGGTTCAAGGTTGAATTTTGGGACAAAATTCTTATAACTAATAAAAAGCAAGCATTTTCCTGCTCTATTCTTTCTGTATGTAATTCGCAAAAATCTGTGTTAAAGAACTGGTTTGATGGTTCAGAATCCTGAACATCTCTGTCATCCATGCTTTTAAATTTAAATGTGACCTTCCTTAGTCCTCTGCTATGACTAAAGAGCCAATCCACCATTCATACACAATGAGTAATAAAAGAGGGCTTAACATGTATTCCTAGAACTGTACTTGTTGTCTTTGTCCTCCCTCTTCTTCTCTTTGTTAGTTATCATGGCTTCTTGCTGCTACTTCTCTTGTAGCTGCTTGTAGCAATATAGGACCACTTACTGAATAAGAGACCTTGGATAGTTGAGATCAAGAAGTGCAATCAGGAAAGATTCATATTTAAGTACTTTCTGTATGCCAGGTTGTGTGTCAGATACAAGATTTATGCAAAACATAAGCCAGTTCATGTCCTTTTTGAGTTTATAATGTTTTCTTGAAAATTCTGATGTTTTATTTTAGTATTTGAAAACAGCTACTTAAAATTATCATAAAGAACTTCACTTTTAAACGAAACTTAGTTATATCAGTTTTATATTAAATTAGCATGTATGATTAATTATAGAGCTTGTATTTTCTTTAAAAGGGTAATTGTGTTTATTTTACTTGTACATTTACAGACTGTTGCAGCTGCTGCCAAGAATGGTACGTCATCGAACAAAAACAAAGAAGATGAAGACATAGCTAAAGGTAAATGGTTAAACACGTGCAATTTAGTGTAGCATAAAACTTCCTTGCCGGAACAATTTATTGAAATAAAAAATATAATAAAACTGGATATACTTTTAGTATTTTACCACAAATCTGAAAACTAGTAGAATCTAAAAGTAAGGCAAACAGTTGATATAACATTAATTTAATTTATTATCTTTGTCAATAACATGTATTTAATGTCCTACCTTTGAAGAGATTACATTTCACCTTTTCTTTAATGCCAAAGTTATGAGTCAAGTGCAGAAATATGTTCACGGCTTGTCCTATATGGAAAGCTACCCATATTATAATGTCACAATCTGTTTGCTATAAAAATAATAGCTGCTGTATATGACAGACTGTTATAATCAGGAATGAGCAAAACTTTATTTTAAAAAATGTCATGATTCTCTGCCCCTCAAAAAGTTAACTGCTTAGCATTTAATTGTACAAATAAAATATTCACTTGATTTCTTCTTATTAAATATTATTTTATCTAATATTTCTTTTTAAACTTTTAAAAAATCAGAATTAATTCTGGGTATCTTGTTTTTGCATTTAAACTTTTTAAACTAGCTATCGAATTATCGTTGCAAGAGCAGAAGCAGCAGCACACAGAAACAAAATCCTTATATCCACCTGCAGAAGTTCCATTAAATAATAAAGTTGCAAGGAAAGTGAGAGCTTTATATGATTTTGAAGCTGTCGAGGACAATGAACTCACCTTTAAACATGGTGAAATTATTATTGTTTTGGATGACAGGTATGTTTTAAATCTTTATTTCTGGAATATTTTGAAGTTAATTTAGAATAGCTTTAATTTAGAATCCTGACTATTTAGCTCTTTAACTTTCATGTATTTAAATCATCATAGAACCTCTTTATTCCTTAATTATTTTTTTCTAAAATAAAAGACAGGTAATAGGTAATGTGAGTTTCTTATTTTTTTGTTAAATTTATTTTTACTTTATATCTTGGTTAAAAGATTATTAAATGATATTGTTCATGTTCATAATTGGGAAATTTAAATGTTCGGTCATCTGAATGCATTTTATTTATATTGGGAACTGTGTATCCCAAAATTACTGGCAAATAAACTTTAGGAAGAAATATAACTATATTACCTTAATCTATGCTTGGCTCCTCCCATGTTCTTAATCTGCTACTCCACTCTCCCTCACAACTTCTGTTATTTAAAGTTGTAATAAAGAATAGATCTTATCTATATTGGGCCTAATTCTAGTCTTTGCTTTTAAAAGTAGTTGATGAAATATAACAATAGTGAGACTTAACAGCTTGTTGCTATGAACAGAGATTGCAAATTTATTTGATATCCATTATCAATAGCTTAGTAAGGGTACATTAGTATAGAGTATTTTTAAATGGGTAAATACACAAAAATGGTTTTACTTTGCTGCAGTAAATATTTATTGAGAAAATGTTATGTGATAGGCTCTGTTTGTAATAAAAAATGAATGAGGACACAGTTTTGTCTTCCTAAAACCTAGAATAAAATAAGGGAGTTAAAATTAGTGTACAAGTAATTGTATGGAATGAAGAATATGACCGTAAGAGAGGTACTGTCGGGGTCCAGAAGAGAGCAGATTCACATGTGGTATCAGAAGGCTTAATCATGGTCTATTTCAGGTGAACTTTGGTTGATTTTGGCAGGGCAGGAAAAATTTTGCAATAATTGAGAACAGGAAAAGAAAGATTTCTTAGACAGTCAAGACATACTATGTTCATGAAAGTGTTTTACTTTTTAAAAAATGGTCATTTGGATTGGATCACATGATCACTGAAGAAGAGTAAATAGATATGAAGGTGAAAAGGTAGTGCGAGCTCTGAACATTGACAGTCTGGAATGTCAGGCTTCTGAGTGTAGTTTTAGTTAGAATATTTATAAAAGAACTTGAGTTTATACTTCTGATACTGTAAAACTAAAGACATTTCTAAAATAGAAACAGAACTAAAAAGGAGTAGGTTTTGCTCTGAGATTCAAATTTTGAGCATTATTTTTATGTAATAAGAAAATTTTCTAAAATAAATGGCTGCTCACAAGTTAAATATACTACTGATCAGTGGCACAGGTACTTCCTCACTTATCTCCAGCAGGTCTGTACTACCCCGTGCTGCGATAACTCAGTTCTCTGAGTTTCTTTTATAACTTTGTGAACCCTTCATACATACCTACATACTTAGATGTCATTCGGTGTTGGCGTGGCATTTATATACCTGTTATAGTCTGTAGGTTTGCAATAAGTAAAGGTCATATTATTGTGCTGCGTGTGTTATTTTCAGTGATGGCTAATTAAAGCACAATTCTTTAAATAACAGACTCATACAAAACTACTTGCATTTGAGACTTTTCACTGCAAAAGATAACTTTTTTCTTTGTAACTGCTAAGAATTCAATATGAATACTGAATATGATGGAATATGTAGGTTGATTGCTGTTATTTTGAAGATAGGATATCCCAATCTTAAAATTGGCATAGACATGCTCATCAACATGTATAGGTTAAATGTTGTCATTCTGGGTGACTGGTTATCATTAGAAAGATTTTAAACAAAAATGTAAATTTGGGTACTAAGGTTAAGTAACAATCTTAGGTTAAAAGGAGGTCATCTAGATAACCCAGAATATGACTGTATTCATTGTATTTAAATTGCTGTGGCAATGAAAGCACAAAATTAAAAATTTCACGTGCAGACCTTGAAGTCCCTTGAAAATACATCATTCTTGGATTTCAATTTAAGAAACACTGAGCCGATAGAAAAGGCGCACCTTTCTTATTAACAGTATACCAAAAAAGTTTTTTACTTTTCCCATCTTTAGCTTTATCTCACCACTCCATATTTGTTCTGTATGTACCATTTCAAATAATCAAGTGGAATTCTTGCAGTTCCAAAAATGCCATGTTGTGAATAGACTTCTGTGGCATTGTACATCGGTTCTTTTTGCCTGGAAAGCCCAGTCAAAAGAAGCAAACACATTTAGAAAAGGAGTTTTACTTGCAAGGAAGGTTTGCAAGGGAGTCCAGGATTTAGAATGTTTGGCTCCCCCACATTAAGAAATAAAACAGGTACTTTAAGGCAATGACCCCCACGGGATACCAAGGATTCCAGGTTTACTATTTATGTATTTGTGGTAGAAATAGCAGTATTCTCACATAATATCTCATCCATAAAGGGCATCACTTATCTTCAGCCATTGTTCAGCCATTGTCATTTAAAAGACAGCAAGTAAGATGTTTTAGTTAAGAAGTCAGTAGGTTAAAGGAGAGGTTAGGTTTTCATTTATTTTGAGAGCTAAAACGAGACAAGATAGCTTTGTTTTTTGTTTATCTCAGTGTACAAGGTATTTGGTTTCTTGTACTTTTATTTTCTTGCTTCTCCATAATGGCAACAAAACATTTTTATTTTCACAGCCCTAATGTCCTTTTTTTTCCTGGTGAGTGCCTACTTAACCTTCAAAACTCATGTCAGATTTTATATGGTCTGAGAAGCCTTTAAACCCTTCTCTGCCTCTAGTTCGCAGTGGAGTTAGGAGTTCCATCTTGGTTTTGCCATAGCCTCCTGAATGGAAGTGATAGCATTCCTTATATGGGTTTCTCGTTTTGTATTGCAATTACTTCTTTACATATTGTCTTTTCTGCTAAATGAGTTGATTCTGAAAAGGGTCAGCACTTCCAGGGATGGGAGAAAGAGGAAGGAGAAAAACTCCAGAAGGTAAAGTTAACATGTTCTTAGTTGGAAATGGAGGGTTGAGAATATTGCGCTGGGTTTTAAATTTCTTAAAGACAGAAACTGTTTCTTAATTATCTTTGTAACATTAGCGCTTAGCCCAATGTCACTATCCCTTCCCTGGTGGGCTTTCATAAATGTTAGATAAATAATGAATGTGTTGAAGGTAAAGTTTATGTCTCTTAACTTACATCATTTCTGACTCAGCTGTGACTTACTCTTTCTTAACATATAAAGTTGTAAATATAAATGGCTGCAATAAAATTTTCCTTAATTAGCAAATGGTTTATGTAAAACTGCAGTGCCAAATTACCTTAATTTAGGAATTTAGAATTGAACAATAACTTTCCATGGAATCAACTAGTTGCCAATGGAGAGAATATAGAGCTGAATTAGGGCTAGGAAGGAGTCATCGTACTTTGACATGACATTTGGTCATTTTGCCTACTTTTATTCTTCATCAAGGTCTTTGCAGTTGTAGTTGAAAGTGAAATTATATCTTTACATTAGTAGAACCATTAAGGAAGGCTATACAAAATTGTTGATAGTTCAGGTAAAATCCATGCTTGCACTTCACATGTTTGTGTTCTCTGGTTTTATGTCAAAATTCCTCTAAGTTCAGTTTTCCTTTTTAATGGAAAGTTCAACTTAAGAGAATATGTGTGTGAGAGAAAGGATTTCTCATCCTATGTAGAAATCAACAGATACGATACCTGAGGACTGTTAGTATATCAGTTATTTTCTGGTTTTAAGAATTTGGATGATATACAGCTCTTTTATATCTTTCTGGTACTTTTTAAATAAAACAATGTGTCAGAATCATAGAAGTTGATTTATCCTTAAGTTCCATCTTTAAGAATGCCTGCTCAATAAGTCAAATTTTTGGAAAGGAGTAGATTAACTGTTATTTCTGGATTCTGTAATTGTCCCTATCAAGAGAATCAATGGACCAACTGTCCAACAAGCTTGGTAAGAGTTCATCAAGCTTGTTGGATACAAGCTCAACATACAGTCAGTGGTATGCATTACTCTAATCATACCTATTTAGCAAATGTAATAGGAAAAAAATGCCATTCCTAATAGTAACAAAAATTATAAGTGATCTAATAATAAATCTAACAAAGATGTGTAAGGCCTTTATGGAGAAAATTATATAAGTTCTTTGAAAAATATCAAGAAATATAAATATATAAAATACATTTATTTATATAAATGTGAATGAAGAGGGATACCATGTTATGGTAAAGAAACTTTAAAATTATAAAGATTTAATTTTTCCTATCAGAATGCATAAATTAGTACATTTCCAATTAAAATCCCAACAGGACTTTTCTCAGAGAACCTGAAAAATTTTAATATTAGTAGAGAAATGCAAAGATATACAGTAACATAGAGGGTCTTTTCTCTGCCAAGTATCAAGGCATATTAATAAGCTGTAGTAAATAAATATATAGACTATTGCAACAGAATGGAATCCAGAAATAGGCTCATGAACAGATAGCAGCTTGCTGTTTGAAAGATAGGATATCATAAATCAGTAGGAAAAAGTGTGTTAGTAAATTTTGGTGGGGCGAATGGCTCTTTATACAATACAAATAAAATAAAATTTGATTCGGCTTCACATAGCACACAGAATTTCATTTCAGATGAATTAAGGACCTAAACATGAGAGAAAGATAAAAAAGAAACCTAAAACTTAAATATAAGTATATAGGAGAAGAGGTTTAGGAGTTCAGGGTTAGAGAAAGATTTCTTAAAAAAAAAAAAAAAATGCATAAGACATAAAAGAAAACATTGCCAAATTTGATCACATGGGGAAAAAAACCACTGTGAAATAAAAGAAATCATAAACATGTTAAAAGACAAGAGACTCTTTGGGAGAAGGTATTTTCATAGTTCAGACAAACAGTTGCTCTCCACAATACATAAAGAATGCCTACAGATCCACGAAAAAAGACAAAGGACCCAGTGGATAAAGAAAAATAGGCTGAAGATACAAACTAGCAGTTTACAGAAGAAGTAATCTGAAAGGCCAGCAAACACGTGGATGCTCGAGAATTGCAAACGAGCACAGCAGTGAGATAGAATTTCTTTACTGTCTGATACCAAGTGCTGCTTGGACGATTAATGAGGGGAAGTGGCATTGTCACGTGCTGCTGAGGGAAGGAAGATAGTGAATTGTCACAACCATTTAGGGAACATTTAGCAGTACTTAATAGAATGGAAAATGCTTATATCCTGTGGCCCAGCAAGTCTGTTTGTGCATGTTTAATTGTTGTATATGTGCCCCCAGAATCTAGAATGATCATTATTCCAGTCTTTATAATGGTAAAAGACTGAAAATTACTAAATGTCCATCTGTATAGGAATGGCTAAGTCATGTATATATGCCGTATTCATGTGATGGAACTTTAATTTTAAAAGGATAAACATCTGAATAAAAATATCTGAGAGTATTAACAGATAAAATTAAAAAGATTGATAATAACACCTATATAGAGTTGGCTATAGATATTTTTAAACAAATAAAAAATACGATGGCAGGAAGACTACCTACCAGCTTTATGGTGCTGGTGTGGTAGAATGGATATGGGATTGTTGATAAACGGGACTTCAGTATTATCTGTAATATTTTACTATTTTAAAAGCCCAGAATCAAATATTACTGGTTGCTAATTGGCTCAAAATTTAAGTATGGGAATATGAATATTTGTTTTATTTGTGCTTTTGTATATCTTTTACTAAATTTAAGAACTATTAAATATAGTCGGATGTGAACTAATATTTTTCATAGTAGGCTAAATTTAATTTTTATTTTAATCCCTCTTGAATCTAATGCACTAAAATGTAGAGGAACAAATGACGTTTTTACACTGTATTTTCAGTGATGCCAATTGGTGGAAAGGAGAAAATCACAGAGGAATAGGACTCTTCCCATCTAATTTTGTAACAACTAATTTAAACATAGAGTCTGAGGCAGGTAAGTTAAATCTTAGAGAAGGTTCAATCTGTTGAAGTTTTTTACACTTGAATTTAATGGTTCAGTTTGAACATAAAGTAGATTGGCATTTAATTCTTGTATTTTTCTGTGTGGTTTTTAAAAAATTTTTTTATGAGTTTATTGAGCTAAACTGATGACAAATGCCAGGGAGCAAGATCGCACATGCTCTCTAACTCTTGTTTGAAAACGTTATTTTTAGGCAATAGAATTTGACCTACTTCTTAACAAACTAGGGGGTTAGTTTAACCCAGGTCAATTCCAAGAATTATTTTCTTGTCATTATATTTTAAATCTTTTGAGAGTTAACATAGTTACATATAAGGCATAAAATAATCTATGACCATGCAAATATTTAAACCAACCTAATTGGTTTAAGAGGCAATTTGTGTCTCTTCAGTACAAAGAATATAAAATAATGTAATTAAGATAGTAGGTTCCTAGTTCAGATCTTCTGAACTTTACTAAGTCTTTTAGCCACAGACAATACCCTTCAGCTGCTGTCAGTCATGCAGAGAAAGCTTCCATTTGCTTTGCAGGCCAGGAGATGAGGGGAGCTGAGTGTAAAGAACAGCTAGTAATACCAATGTTGGTGATGACCAGAAATAAAATAGTTCAGTGGTGTTTCAGCACTCATATATCAGGCATTGTGCTAAGTCCTTTGCTTGCACTATTTCATTTAATCTGTACAAGTCTGTGAGATAGGTACTTTTGTTACCCCATTTTACAGATAAGGAAACTGAAGCTGAAGGCTGAAGGGTTCTGTGGCTAGTAGGCGATAGAGTCGAGATTCTAAGTTAGCCAGTCTGCCCTTAGATGGTACTTATGGTAACTCCCTGCAGGACATGTGGATGCTAATCCCTTACCAGTTCTAGAGAAAGAACTTCAATTGAAAGCCCTATGTATTGTGTGTAACATCCTCCTTGTATGGTGGAGTGACGCATTTGGTTAAAATAAAGTTGAGGGAGATGAATACTCATTTGAATACTAACTACTTTGCCACTATTTATACTTTTTATTTCTCTGGGCTAACTCTCTAAGTTGATATGAAAATTGGAGACACCATTTTTAATACCTTTATAGACACTGCTCAAGGGATCCAATATCATAATTTCTCCTTGGCATAGGCTGGAGATATTAAGCTGAAGTTTTAAAAGTAAAAAATATTTTGGGTTTTCAGTATATCTTCATGTTATGCTGAGCTCTGCTGCTTAGGACGTATTTAAAAATTAGCCAGATATTTGAAATACGTGGCTAACTGTTGGGACTTAAAGATCCTTTCATGGTATAGATTATTATAATTTTATTTTTACCAGAATTTACTTTATTAAAGTATAGTACACTATAGCAATATTCCAGTGAAAATTTAAATAGTTTGGGGGCATGTATATTCGTAAATTATTTTTCAACCTTCTCTTTATGATTTTTTGTTTCGTTTTGCTTTAAGTATTATCAAAGATGATTGCAATTAAGTTTTTTTAATATATAGGAAATACTCTTTATGGTAAGGAAAGAATTCATAGAACTCTGAAATTAGCTAACTGGATAACACTAGATAATATCCTACTCTTCTGTTTATTTATTCACCCTCGTGGTAACACTCAGTTTTCCAGAAAATGCCTGTAATAACAGTTCCCATTATATTGCTTGCTTGTTCCACTAGAATGTAAGTTACGTCATGGTAGGGATTGTCTGTTTTACTCATCGGTGTGTTTCTAGTGCCTAGAACAATGCCTGGAACATAGGGCAAAATAAATATTTGTGGCATGAATAAATGAACATATGTAATAACATTTTGATTATGAAATGTGATGACTGTACTGTGTAAGGAGTTTCTTTTTTTTTTGTGGATAATCACTTACTTATAAATTAATGACTCAGTTGCCAAAGTAAATGCTGAAGAACTTAAAATTTGCTGTGTTTCTGTAGCAGCTGTGGACAAATTGAATGTAATTGATGATGAGGAGGAGGAAATTAAGAAATCGGAGCCTGAGCCTGTTTATATAGATGAGGTAGAGTCCTTCTTTTGTTTAATAGTTAAGCTATCAAGACTTTTAAAATGTATTATACTTGAAAATGCTTGGAAAGAGTAATTTCTATATTCATTGAAATTAAGACTAGTGAGTTTTTAAAGTATCCTATTACTTTTTTAGGATAAGATGGATAGAGCCCTGCAGGTACTCCAGAGTATAGATCCAACTGATGCAAAACCAGACTCCCAAGACCTCTTGGACTTAGAAGGTACTTAGTGAATATTAGGAATTACTTTAATGTCATTTAATATTTTAGCTATTTATAATATCTTAAATTTCTTCTGCCTCGTGTTTGCTTGTAGAGATTAGAAATCTCTGATGGGAAACAAATTAGTATAGTTATATAGTAAACATATTACTTGGAAGGTATGATTATAAACCTACCTATCTTGTTCAAAAAAGAAGTCTTTGTATTTCTGTAAGCCCACTAATGAAATTGGCTGAAGAGATTTGCAGTCCAAAAAAGGACAGAATTAGAAATAACGCTATTAAATTAAATGAGTCAAAATGTTAGAAATCCTTATTCCTGTTTTAATTCTCTTTAATTCTCTTGTATCATGATTTTAAAGGTCAAAATTATACATGATCCATGTTAACTTTGTAATGCAGTCATTTGATGCATGCCGATGTGTCTGTCTTTTTTAATTTCCAAGAAATGTAAAACAATTAAATGTTTTTATTGAAAAATAAAAATAAAACCTAAAAAACAAACAACAACAACAACAAAAAACCCAAATGCTTTTATGCCTTTTTAAAAAAAATCCTTTGCGAGAAAAATCTCTGATAAATGATAAGTCTTCTTGAATCTTTTAGTATAAGAAAGTCTGGTTATGCATATGGAATATTGTGGTCATTGTATTGATGTTTACATTTGGAAATATACAACATGTTTAATTTTGAAATTACTTAAATAACTGAAAAATGTTCATAACTCATCTGTACATAATTACATATCTTACATACTGACTCAAGTTTATTTTACTTAGCTAATACTAGTTTTCTAGATATTCTTAAGATTTTGAGATAACTCCAAATTTCACAGTCTATAAACTTAGTACTTTCAGAGAACACAGTGGGATTTGTTTTTATTTTGACTTTGCCTGTGGTCATGTGATATTAATATTGGTTGGTGCTGAATAGTATTAAAATTAGGTCTTTTATAATCCTTTCTTGAGCATAAACTTAATTCTCTTTGTATAATGCGTGATGTGCCCTGTTGTTAAAAATTGTCAAAATTGACCTAACCTGGTTTAAATTTAAAGATTTTAAAATATTTTTGTATTTACAGATATCTGCCAACAGATGGGTCCAATGATAGATGAAAAACTTGAAGAGATTGATAGGTAAGATTCTTAATGCAGGGAATAACAAGTATAGTTTTCTTACATGGTTACTTGTTTTGGGCAGAACTTTTAACTAGGGAGTTTTTATGAAACTTCAGTCTTTTGAAACTTTCTCAGTTTCCCAAGTATGCAAAGTGGTACTTTTTATTTTGGTAGCAAATTTTTTTCATGACAAGAGTATACATAAAACCGTGGACCCTTGCTCTTGCAGCGCCATTCTTCGTTTTCTTACTTGGGCTAGAACTGAAGGATAATGAGTAATGAAGAATAAGGTTGATTAGAGTGTGCAATGAGAACAGGGATCGTAGGCAAGCATTGTCTTGTTATGTGATGAGAAATAGTATTGGTAAAACTTTCAAGTGAAATTTTCCTTTTATTTTTATTTGTGAAACTAAATCCAATGCACACACCCTCTCTTCTTGTTTTTTTTTTTTTCTTTTATTCCTGGGTTTCTGCTGTCCTTTGAATTTCATTATTCCACTAATCGTACTCATCCTTAGAAATAGCAGCAGCACTGAAGTATAGACTATCAGGTTTTGAGCTTTTAACTTAGTTTCTCTCCCTCTCTTCTTCCTCAGCACTTTCTATCTGAAGTCAGAGGGAGAAGCCATGGAGGATAGAAGACGAGGAATAAGGCTTTAGCAGCATTCCATTGTCATACCTTTCTAGATTCTATCGAACTGTTGTATAAAACAGCACAAGAACAGAAACTGCTTTACTTCTTATCTGCCTTTGCCAGAGAAGGGTAGTAGCAGCAAGATATTTTCTAGTCAATGAAGATTATAATCTTTGTCCCATGGGTAGTTTTAATAAATACTTTGTATTTTCTGCAGAAATGAAAAAAATAATCCCTGTTGCACTTAATGAAATGATGGTAGTCTCATCACATTCTTTTATTCTTATTTTGGAGAATGCATTTACTATCCACTTACACATCTACTACTTTGGTTTCAGTGCAGGGATGTTAATAGTCAAGTGAATAATCAAACTGGAAAAGAAGCTTATGGTTAATTCTTAATCACACTTTAGTTATCATGGACACTAATTTCTGCAGCTTCTTGTGTGGTTTACAACTTAATTTCTGAAAATAGAGTTTGATCTGCTTTATATAGTCACAAGTGCAAGAGAGGAAACAACACAATTTTGTTTGTTTGTTTGTTTCACACATGATATTTTAATAGAGGAAAGGTGACAAGTCCTGATAGGTTGCTCCAGGTCTCTAACTTGACAGCCCCATGTTTGGTTGCTTGCCTTAGCTTCTTGTCTTTTGAGCCTCTTGTATATATATATACATTCAGTAAACAGGCTTGTGGGTGGCTTATGCCAAATAAAGTAGCCATTTATCTTTTATGAACTTGGCAGTTGTAAAGGGAGTTCTTTATTACTCCCAGGAGAACAAACAAAATTGTACCAAGTCAGAAGGATGTGTCTGGAGTTCCTTGGGCAGATTTGAAAATGTTGTTCTTCAGATTTTTTTGCCCCATAGGGTATCTGATTTCACTCACTTTCTCAAGGGAAATCAACAAATGAGCAATAGAGACTAGTTTATATATACATTATTTTCATTTGCATTTTCAAGGATAATTATTAAATTCTTTTTCAGTTGATCCTTTTATGAATATAAGCAAATCAAAATGTGTGTGATTTTGTTTGTGAACGTGTTTTTATTTTAGTCATATTGTGCTCAATAGCATGCTCTGGGCCTTTCCTGCGTACTTCATTCTTATAGGATTTTAATTAAGGCCTGGACTCTTCCTAAATTGAGAACTTTTTCTAATTTGTAGTTGAATTTTCAGCAGAAGCCTATAACTTATGGAACAGAATTTTCCTAGCACTAAAATTATGAATTGGTTGTATTTTATGAGGTATGGGAAGGACTTTCCCTAATTTTATGAAGTCGTATTAGCTAGTTATAATAAGAATTGAATAATTCTTCCTCCCATTTTCCCTTTGTGAATATTCTTTCATCGTATATAAAGAACCATTTAAAATATGAATAGAAAATGTGCTAAATTTAAAAAATAATTTATGTTGCTAAATGCATGCTTAAAAACTTTGAAGAATATGAAAGCTCTTTTCTTCTATATCAGGAAGCATTCAGAATTGTCTGAATTGAACGTAAAAGTCTTGGAAGCTCTGGAACTATATAACAGATTGGTGAACGAAGCACCAGTGTATTCAGTCTATTCAAAGCTCCATCCTCCAGCTCATTACCCACCTTCAGCTGCGGTTCCAATGCAGGTGAGCATGTTTTTTGAGAACATTCTTCAAAATTAAAAAAAGAAAATTATTTTAATTAGAAAAAAGGTTTTAAAGCATAGTATTAAAATTTATATGGGTCATGAGTAAAATTATAAAACTCATCTTCGATAGTCAAAAATTATTTGCTAAACAATTAGTGCTCACCAGGGTAGATTAGATACTGATATTTCACAAATACATTTTAGTTCATTTTTAACATGAATGAAGAGATCATTAAATATATGAGGGGACTTCTGGTTCTTCATATGCTTTTGTAAATATGGAGCATAAATCCTTTAAGTAAGTATAAATTCTTTCTGTAAATATAGAATATAAATTCTTTGATTTAGGACATTGATATATCGAAGTCCTCCAGATGAGGTGCTGATGCTGTTCTTGTTGCTCAACAAGCAAGATTTGACATTTTTGTCAAGATTTCTTTCATTTACATGGATTATTAAAAGGCTTCATTAATGAACCTCTTTTGTTCTCAGATTATGCTTTATAATTTCTTATCTTAGATTCATGACTTAAATTGTTAAAAATTCATGCGTCATGAGGATATGATGTAGGCCTATTGATGCAGGTTCTAAAAGATCATCTTTTCCTAGGACTTTACACCTTATCTGTGCTTCCCAGCTGAAGTGAATACTTACATTTATCAGTTTCCAGTATTCTGAATCCTTTTTCAAATTTCAGCCAATTAGCAGTCGAATTTAGAATGAGCTCAGATGAACAGAATTCATGTTAATTTATGAAAACTGGTATGTCAAGGAGCATGTGAAGGAGATACCAAGGAGAGAAGATCAAATGTGGGTGCATAACCTAGATGACTTGACATAATTGTTAAGTAGAAAAAGAATAGTTACTATGGTAACTGTCACATCAGACAAGATGCATTTATCAAATATGCCATGCTCTGAACTTTTGAAAGTGGTGAAAGTCATTACAAATGAGGGTAGAAAGGATTTCTGGGTGCAGAAGACAGCTAGAGTTTATTCAGTGTTGCTTCCGTTTTCAAAGAGTTATTTGATGCTGCTGTGAAAATGGAACAAAAAAGAAATGCTTGTACCATTATATCATAGAATTATATGTTATATTTGCTTCTTTGCATGTCTATAAATGGTTGTCATTCTTATGATAGGTTTGTGTGTTAAGTTGCATGCTATTTACAATATGTATTTTTCTAAGCACAACTCATTTAAAAAGTTAGCTTTCTATCAGTTTGATTCCTCACGTAACTTCTATCTACACTATTCATTCATAACAGCATTTGAACTATTCTAAGTTTCTATTCTAATTCTAAAAAAAATACCTGTACTAGAAAAAGTTGGAATAACACACCATCAGTTGTATCTGTGAAGGAACCCTAAGCTGCAGAAGAGGTCCATTCCCACAGCTTCAGCCTGTTGTCAGTGGGTTGTTACTTGTTTGCTTAAGGAAGTGATATGATTGCACTTAATTATTTGCTAAACAATTAGTGCTCACCAGGGTAGATTAGATACTGATATTTCACAAATACATTTTAGTTCATTTTTAACATGAATGAAGAGATCATTAAATATATGAGGGGACTTCTGGTTCTTCATATGCTTTGATTTGGCAATGTAGCATTCTAAATTTTCATGTCAATGGTTTTTGCTTTAGAAATAGCTTAGTTTAAAATTGGAGTGATGATAGTTACTATATGATATATATTTAACTTGTGCATTGTTTTGAATGCTATATTTGGTAGGCAGATGGTAGATCCTATCCTTAAGGAGATGTTACCTGAAAATTAGGGCACATATAAATATCAGGGATTTAGACTCTTTTGCTATTTCTTGAGAATACATCTTCTCCTTTACCCACAAAATTCTTTATTTTTATCTGCCCTAAAGGCAGGAAATAAAGGAGACATGGCCAGAGAGGCCTGCATCCTGCCCTGGTACCATTTATTCTTCAACTTATTCTCCTAAGTTCCATTCTTAGGAAGGAGTTGAAAAATCATCCTGGGGTGAGGGTAAAGAAGGTTATCATTCTGGTGGTAATTTGAAGTGATGATGGGTTGCCCTTCAAGGGAGTATTTAGTTTTCTGTGGCTCTACAGCAAGACAGGTTACTGAGTAATAGGCAACCTGGATGAATTTCAGCGTGCTACTTAAAAGTACACCACCTCCCTTCCTATCAACCCCCAGCAAAATAAAAGACCAACCAAGTAAATCATAGATTGTCATAGATTTGGAAGCTCTTTACTTTTTATACTAGAGTAGATAGATTGGTGAAACAAGATGGCTCCCCAAAGAACTATAACATTTTATTTCATTTAAATCTTTAAAAATTTTAAATTGTTAGGCGGATGTTTGGGAAATCAGTGGGTCAGCTTTTTCTCTTTGGTTAATAGACATACCCAATTCAGGCGCATGGTGGAAATTACATGGGTCAAGGCATTCACCAAGTCGCTGTTGCCCAAAGCTACAGTTTAGGACCAGATCAGATTGGTTCACTGAGATCTCTGCCTCCAAATGTGAATTCCTCAGTGACAGCACAACCTGCTCAAGCTCCATATTTAAGGTAAGTTTTTGGGAGCTGTGGTTCATTTTGTAATTATATATGTTAAAATTTCACAGACTTTCAGAATGAGAATAAATTGAGCCTTCTCTTTATAATAATGCTATCTTTACAACTGAGATGAAACTGTAGAACTGCCCATTCATAATCCCCCGAAGTCTTAATGATGCTGCTCTTAGCTTTGCCACCCATAGTGAGAAATGGTTGCACATAGCATATAGTCTGGGTCCCTGGGACAAAATAAAGCTAACTGTCCTTTACAGGGACCAAGCCCATAATAATATATTTAGCATGGTGCTGTAATCAGCCTAACAAAAGTAATCCCAGACATATTTATCTGCATATACTTTTAAAAATCAGAAAACTGTTATTTTGACTCTAAAAAAAAGTGTGTTTGAATTGTGGAATTTGTAGTCTGATTTTTTTTATACCAACACTTTTATTCTGAAAATCACGTTTAAATCTTGCCTTCTATTATCTTGACTTAGCCACACAGAATGATCGTTTAATATAGTCATGCGTATATGATCTCTAATGTCTCTCCCCAATCTTAAATTACTTGAGTATAAATCTTAAATATTATCTGAAAAATAAACCTGTTCATATTGATGTTCATATTTAATTCTATTAAAATGTAAAATTTTGTTATCCTGGGTGACACTTAAGTACAGAGAAAAAACTGGAGTAGTATAGATGTTAATCCTCCTATATTGTAAGCAGTGTATTTGGTGTAATTTAAAATTATATATCTTTTAAAATAAATGTATGCTATACTAATTACAGGAACAAACAGAAGTCCTGCAATTTGGTGTGATTTTCAACTTAGTTTTTTTTTTTTTTTTTAAATAGTGTTAATAAGTAAACTATTGGTCAGAACTACCTTCACAGTAGATTCAGGGTCCTGCGTAGATTACACCATTCTCCTTACCTTCTTGAATTTTATGTAGGGATTCACGTTGGGGACTATCAGGGGCAGCTTTGAAAGTGTAAAGAATGTGTGAGGAAAAGAGGGGTCTCCTCTGTGCTGGATCGAAAGATGGGGGAAGGGAGAATATGGCTGAAGGTGTACTTGAGGTGGGATTTCATTTTCATTGAAGCTGGCCAAGGGTACCACTGTAAGAAATAGTCTGCATTGCAAAAGATTTTTAAATGATTTGGGTGAGAGATTTTGGAGAAAACGGAATTAAATAGGCCTTATAATTTATATTTTCTCTTTGCGTAATTTCTTCTTACCAGATAGAAAAATTACATTAACAGTGTTGGATAGGTGGAGTGATTAAGTTATAATTAAAATAAAAGAGCTAGTAAATTTAAAAAGATGGAAAAGGTGTTTTTATTTTCTCATGATGATTGATCTTTGATCATAACCTAGATAATGCAAAGTAAACATGTTTTTTTTTTTTTTCTAAATTTTGTTTGTAGCCCTGGACAAGACACTGTTTCCAATCCTACTTATATGAACCAGAACTCTAATCTTCAATCAGCTACTGGTGCAGCTGCTTACACACATCAGATGGGGATGTCTGTGGATATGTCCTCTTACCAGAACACTACTTCCAATTTGCCGCAATTGGCAGGCTTTCCAGTGGCAGTTCCAGCTCATTCAGTTGCACAGCAGCAAACAAATTACCATCAGCAGCCTCTCCTTTAGAAACAAACCAAGCTTTTTTCTTGAAAGCCTTCATAAGTGTATTACTCAACCTTTATGATTCTAATCTGAAGCTATTAAAAGAAAAATTTTTTTTTCTGACCTCAAAAAGACCATGAATAAATAAAGCACAAAAACTTCTCTTACTATACTAGGCCATAAAAGGGTTTTTTAAATCCAGTTTGTTTGAAGTCAAACTTTTGAAGAGGGGCAGCTTTAAGTTGCTTCTAGTTAGTTTTGTGTTTGTTTCAAATTTCTCTACACAAATCTGGACACCCAATAAGTAGCCTTATGACACTAAGCAGCATGAGATGGGAGTGTTAACATTTTACTGTAAAGAAACGGCTCTTTACCTTTAAAATGCCACGTTTATTGAGAGAGCACTGAAACCTTTAAATATTTTTTATCTGCATATTTTTTCAGTTTCCCACACCATTATTTTAAAAGGTAAACATCTTTTGCGCAGGCATTTAGCTTGCCAACATATTTCCTTTTGGCTCTTCAAATTGCAGTTGTGTTTGCAGTGCTGTCAGTTTTGCTCTCAGTGTTATGTTGAGTAATAATTAGCATATAATTGTCTACAGAAGCAAGAACAATCGGAGGGAACAAAAATGTCTTCTGTTATTAATAGTGAAGACCATGTCAGTGCCGATGTGTGATAAAGCATTAGCTAGTCCCCCAGTCTTGCCAGCAGTAGGCTAAGGAAAGCCCTACAAAACATTTCCATTCCCTGGAGAACAACATTTCTTTTCTTACAAGGGTCCCTGGGATTTAGAATTGCCACTATACTGACCTTTTCAAATGACATTGCCATTCCGGAATGAAGGTACGGTCCATTTGTTTTCCTTCCTGCAGTGCAGTGTGCAGAGATGCTGCATTTCCTTTTTACAGATCACATAGGAACTTGAGACATGAGGCATTCCTAATAATTTGATGCAGTGTATGCCAAGAATGGATGATAATGTGTTTTTACTGGTACGTTGTTTTTTTTAAAGAGGTGCTTCTAGTACCATTGCTATACCAGACTGTTGAAAAATTTGGCCATTCCTTTCAGAAGTAATTCTGAGCCTGTGGGATAACAGCAGGCAGTGGACTGATAGCAAAGCTATCAAGACAGGTTTTTGGAAGCCTACATTTTAAAATAGTTTATAGTGCTCATCGATTGCACATACTGTAAGAGTTAGGTAGTAAACCAATAGGGATTGTTTTCTCACCTAAAAATTTGCGTACTATTACATCATCTACCAATTTTTTAGATAACACAAAATAGAAAATGCAAATACATATGCTTACAGATACATGATATTTAGACTGGGAAAAAATAATGGGCAGAGTTTAGTTTATAAAAAGTTAATTGTATGGAAGCAAGATTTCTATATTGTTTTTTAAAGAAAGCCCTTAATCTTTCTACTAATAATCCATATGAAGCCAGTGCCCTGGAAATTTTTGTCATTTACTGTTTAAAGAAATTTGATTCCAAGTGTTCCTTTTTCAAAGGAACTATCCTAGAACAAAATAGCCTATATATTACTTGGTCTACATTTAAAGGGGAAAACAAGCAATATTTGAAAGCCCAGTTTTTGTCTTTATCTTATTTTAGATACAAGTAACTGGAAAGAAAGTTTTAACCTTTAATATTTCATGTTCTGTTTTTCACCCAGTATTTTCCTTCCTTGTTAATTATATACTTACAAAGTCAACTTACTTTTTGGAAATGAATCTTCTTTAAAGAAAACAAAACAAAATTTACAATGCTGCTCTTGATAGTTAATGTTTGCATATACATGGAAAGCCTTTTTTTCTTCCAAACAATATTTAATAAACATTTTAATGTTTGTGTAAATATCTCATGCATGGTTGGATTGGAATTGTAAAAGACTTAATCCTGCCTAAGTCTTTGAACTAAATACTACACACCCACTAAATTAGGATTGGCCAATTAAATTTACCTTATGTAGTTTTGGAATAATATAACATTCGACATGTATATAAATAGTGTATATTGGCATTTGTGAAATTTTATACATCCAGAAGTTTCTTCTTCCCTTTAAATTAAAAATAATTTTATTTTTGCCATACTATAATTTTATGTTGCAGGCTGTTGATAGTATAAAAATGTTATTAAATCTGTGTACTGAGATATTTTGGTGTTAATAAGAAATACAGGGTTGTAATTTTGCTTTCTTCTCCATGATCTTATGGATTGTATTTATTTTAAGACCTGTTTATAATTAAATGTTTTCTGCCAAAGAAATTGTCTAACATCAGATTTCTACACTGGGTTCATACTTACTGTTTTATATTAAAAATAAAAATAACTTCTGCTTTTTCATATGAAATCTTGGTACATGAGAAAGAATTCCTGAAAATTTATAGTAACATTTTCATTAATATAGAAAAATTTCTCATGGGTGTTAAAATATATGAAGTAGGATATGTTCTTATAGTTTGGAAAATGTACATTCTACTAAACATTGTCTTGTAATTTGGTGATTTATTTATAAAATTACCTGAAAATGAAATAATTGTAGTATTTATCAATTAGGATTTGAAATTATTTGCAGATACATTGTCATCATATACTGTTTCAAGTAGGTGATTCTTGGCTACGTAACAAATTTCACTATGCATTTTGAATCTGGTTATAAACTTTCACCTTTCAGATTTTTAAAAAATTGATTTTAAATGTTTCACAAATTATGGCTTAGGGAGTCTAAAAAAAGTTTTTCATAGTAAAAATTGTAAGTGTCAAGATTCCTGGCTTCTAATAGAGGATTTATTGAATTGTTTTGATGGCAAAGCTGAAGTTATTTTTGTAAGTAAGAAATTATAAAGAAGATAGCACCAATCTATCATGCTTTGTTTCTGTCAAAAGACATTTTTCTTATATAATATACTTAACAACAGTTTTAGTCAATAAAGAAAGGGAGGACTCAATTTTGGGATTTGATATTTTTCACTAGTTTGATTTAGTTTCTTTTGAAGATTAGAGATTTATTTTGAAAGTTTTCCCAGAAGAATTATTCTAATTTTACCAAGTTAAATTCAACTACTGATGTGCTTGTAAGAGAAGACAGACACACAGTAAGGCATGTGAAGATGGAGGCAGAGATTGGAGTAACTGCCACAAATCAAGGACTGCCTGGGGCCACCAGAAGTTGGAGGAAGCAAGAAGAATTCTTCCTTAGAGGCTTTAGAGGGAACATAGCCCATGTGATACCTTCATTTCAAATTTCTAGCCTCTAGAACTGAGAGAAGCAATTTATGTTTTTAAGCCACTGAGTTTGAGGTGCTTTGTTACAGCAGCCCTAAGTAACTAACATACGTAGACAAAACTATACAGCAAAATCTGAGTACCAGGCATTCCAAACTTTTACATGATTGGTTAAAATTGTCACATGACTTCTGAGACAAATGTCTGTAGTACAGGGGCAGCCTTTTATTATCTTTTCTCAACAATAATGAAGTTGTGTGGATGAAACTAAAACGCCAGTTATTCCCATTTTTATTGATTTTACTATCACATCTACATTTCGATAATTGATTTCTTTATGCCAGAGGTGTTCACAAGATTATAACAATACATTTGCTATCCACTCTTCTGACCATCTTGAGTGTGGGTATTGAAGGGATATGTTAAAGGCAAGCAGAGGAACAAGAGAAACAAAAAAACTAGATGGATATTCCTCACAAAACCTATTGAAGAGTGGAGTTTCATGTTCTTTTTAATTTACACTAATATCCTAAAGAGAAAAATAAAAGTTTTCCAATGTGTTTACAGCAAGTTAGTGACCTCTACTGATTACATTTGAGTCAAGGGAGCCCGCTATCTTTTTTAAAAAATTGAGGTGAAATCATATAAAACTTTCTGTTTTAAAGTGAACATGATTCAGTGGCATTTAGTGCATTCAAAATGTGCAACCACCACCTCTAGTTCCAAAATTAGACCTTTGTGTCTGTCTTCTTTCACTTAGGATAATGTTTTTGAGGTTCATCTCCACATACACTACAGTATATGAGGTTCCTGTTCCACAGTTTGTTTATCCATTCAACTATTGATGGGTACTTGGGTTGTTTCCACCTTTTGGCTATTGTAAATAGTGCTGCTATGAATGTGTGTGTATTTGTATTTGAGTACCAATTTTCAATTCTTTTGGATATATATACCTAGGAGTGGAATTACTGGGCCATATGGTAATTCTATGTTTAACTTTTTTGAGGAAATGCCAAACTTGCACAGCTGAACCATTTTACATCCCCACCAGCAATGATGAGGGTTTTGGTTTCTCTACATCCTCACCAACACTTGTCACTTCCTATTTTTAAAAATTACAGCCATCCTAGTAGATGGGAAGTGGTATGTCATTGTGTTTTTTTTATTTGCATTTCCCTAATGACTAATTATGTTGAGCATCTCTTCACATGCTTGTTGGCCATTCGTATATATATCTTCTTTGGAGAAATGTCTATGTAAGCCTTTTGCCCATTTTTTAATTGGGTTGTCTTTTTATTGTTGAATTGTAAGAGTTCTTTATATATTCTGGATACTAGACCCTTAGTAGATTCATGATTTGCAAATATTTTCTCCTGTAGGTTTTCTTTGTCTTGATATTCTTTGATACACAAAATTTTTTAAATTTTGATGAAGTTCAGTTTATTTTTTCTTTTGCTGCTCATGCTTTTGATACCATATCTAAGAGTCCGTTGCCAAATTCAAGATCATGAAGATTTTCTCTGTTTTCTTATGAGTTTTATGGTTTTAGCTCTTATAACTAGGTTGTGATCCATTTTGAATTAATTTTTGTACATGGTGCGAGGTAGGACTCCAACTTTATTCTTTCGCATGAGGTAGTTTATCTCAACACCATTTGTTGAAGAGACTGTTTTTTCACCAGCCACTTTTTGACACTGTGATAACATACCTTAATGGTAGTCAGTTCTCAGACCTAAGTTGCACAACAGTGATGCATCAACCCCTTATCTGTATAGTTGGTCATTCGAAGAGGAGACAGCCTTGTTTTCCCTCATCACTTCTATCATGCGCCGAAAGGGGAGTCAGTGCTATCTATAGCTCCCAGCGGTGAATAGATACCCCATGAACAGATGTGTTAAGTGTCAACATAGAGATGGTTTTTATCTGCCACAGATTTTTTACTTTCCAAGTAACTTCAGACAAGTGTTGTGAAAAGTGCAGTTTAAAAAGAAAAATGGGACTTAAAAACCCCAGCCAAAAATAATTATCATATTTCTTCCTGAGAAACCCACTAGAGATTTTCACCTACATGTCATTAGTCAAAACTGTGTCAAAAGGCTATCCTTAGCGGCAAGCGAATCTGGGAAAATGAGTATTTTGCTTTTCAGCCTCTAAATATAGAGAAGGCAGGGGAGAAGATGATTGGGAATGGATGTAGAGTGTGCCATTCTATAGTAAGTGCCACAGAGACAAACCTGTCCAAGTGTGCTTTTAACCGTGGTAAATAAATTCAAAGTCAAATTAGTCTATTGCTATTCCATGGTCAAATAAGCAAGCTCTTGTTCAGATTCTCTAATATAAGCATACTATAGTTTCTAGTCAATAAAGGCTAGAATGAAAATATTTACATCTGACCTGATTGTTAAAACTGGGACATTTTTTTAAAGCCACTTCAGGAGGGACAGAAAAGGCCCTGCAAGTAGAGATGGGGATAAAAGCTTCAAACTGCTCTTGTCTCGTCTGACTTTTGAGACAGATGAAAAAAATACTTATTTGCATTCATTAATTGATTCATCATTTGCATTCATCAATTTGACTTGATTGAAAACCATTTTCATATACATTATCATTGAATTTTCTTAACATTTGTTAGGGAGAGAGGTAGAGGAAGAGATTAAGTTATCTTCACAAGCTAGTAAGTGGCGAAGCTGGGATTCGAAACCAGGCTCTGTCTGAAGCCCAAGTATGTGCTTTTCCCTCCTATACTAGTACAATATTACCTAGAAATACTTGTGTATTAAGGTTATCAGGTAATATCCTGTAACTGCTTCCTTTCCCACAAAACGCTGAGATTGACGAGGTCTCCACGGGCTCATCTGGATATAAAATGCCTTCCGATGTGAGAATACTCATGTAGGAAGAGTGTAAGAGTCACTGGATATATTTAATGTGTATGTTGTAGTACAATTAGCTCTGTCACACAGTTGGGCTGATGAGACCAGAGCTTACTGTAAACAGACTGGCTCTTCTAAGAATCTGTGAGGAGGAGGGGTCAAACATCAAAGAAAGCAGAAGCTTAAGGAAGCTCACAGAGTTCTGTGTTTTGTGAATAGAAAAGAGCAAAATTCAAGGAGCTGTTCTGAGGAGAAATGGCAGGTGACAACTAGTTGAGGCTGATTTGAACTAGGAGGGTAGTTCTGAATTGAAGCTTAGGGACCCAGGGCCTATACACATGTAGCCTGGCTTCTCCAAGAATCAAAGATGCTGAGAAAAATCTAACTGGAACTCAGGGTTCTGTTACGTTCTGGATAAGGGCCAAACTTTAGAATCACATATTAGGTAGTCTTCATTTCATCTCACCCTTGGCAGCCCTCCTAACCTCTTCCACTTTCCTGCATACACGCTTGATTCCAACCCCACCCCCCCCAACTCAAAATTCCTCAGATTCCAATTTTGCTTTTTCACACCTGTGTTTGGCCTTGTTACTTTTCTCTGCCTGAAATTCTTTTGTTTATCTAACAGTCTTTTCAAGTGTCAGCCCAAATTTCACTGATTCTGGCCCCCAGACCACTGATTTCTGTAGCATCTTGTGACTGTTACAGTGGTTGCCATGTTGCATTGGAATGATCTGCCTCTGTGTCAGATACTATAATGCGCATACTATCTGTACACATGACATGTTTTGGTCAATGAGATATAGGTCAAAGTTCTTGAGGAGGGCTTCCTAGGATGAAAGAAAAAACTTTGAAGGGAAAGGCTTTTGGCTCTTTTCCGTCTTCCTGGCTTAGCAGGCAGATGCAGTGTCAGGAGATAAAAATTGTGACCATGAGGAAGAAAGTTATGATGGCTCAGGAAGATTAAAGGTACCTGGCTCCTTGATGATACTTGCAAATGCCTATACCAACTCTAAACTATCTTCCTCTGGACTTATTCACATGTAAAAAAATTAAATAAACCCCTTTATCTGTCACCCCTATTTGTCTGGACTACTGTTGGTAGGATTTTGCTATTTGTATCTAAAATCATTCCTATCCCCTAGGTCTATAAACTCCTTCAGAATTCGGAGCTGTGTTTTATTCATTGATGTATCCCCAAGGCCCAGCATAGGCACATGAAATGTTTTTGGAAGAATAAAAACATTTAGCAGAGAGTTGCACAGCCTAGCATTCAAAAAATATGAATTTCTTTGACTCTTTCTTATCCTTGGGATTGTTACTTATCATTATCATTCCATTTTAACACGTGTGAAATCAGGATGTATTACAGTTGATGAGCATGTATTGTAGGATTTCATTTTATTCCTTTAAAGCTATTCAGTCAATGATGCAT